TGCATCATCAGCAATTGAATTTTAGCTAACTTAACTGAATTACCATATAATTTGCTTTGCCTCTCTACAAAGTTAAAGTGTGCTACTAGTGCAATTATGTTTGCTTTCCTAACCCTTGCTTTTTGTTCTAATTTCAAGCAGTCTGCCATTTATTGTCCGATTATTTTTTGTAATTTCACTTAGGGGTTAATTTTCCATCTACGGAATAGCCTTCATAACTGCCAAAGCAATATTGATTTAGTAATGCTCAGAAAACTGATGTCTTTCATTTTATCTTCCCTTAATTATTTATAAATTATCTGCATTAGATATCCTACTACAGCCCCCATTTTTCTGTTATGACTGAAATGGGTAGAGTGTATTGAGTTTCTCATAGTTTATGCGTAAATCTGATTCTTTTGCATGGTTCGTTATATGGCCAATCATACACATTCTCTATGTTAGGCTCAAAATAAAAAAAATCCACCGGCCATGTTTCTAATATGAAAATATAAAGGTTTACCCCTCTAAATACTCCAAAACACACACAGGGTAAAGGGGAAAAAATTTGATTTCTCTCTGCAGCAATTCACTTTGATGAAAAATATTTTTCTGGCCAACAAGTCTTAGGCAAAAAGACAAAAAGGATAATGTTCGAGATGTTCAGACAGCTGTTGCTCTGTCGTTCTGGCATGTGGAGACAGCTGTCACCGAAATTTGGCAGTTGTCTCTGCAACCTTGTCAGATGCAGCATGCTCAGGGACAACAGTATTGAGAAGTTTTCCAGTTGCAATTCAAGATGACAATCATGTTTCACGATGAATTTACCACAAATGTGCTTCAGAAACAGGAGGTACCAACTGAGTAGCCTATCCCTTAGCAGGCTTTCCTCAAATGAAAAATCCAAACAAACTCAAAGCCTGCAAAATGCTGTTCAAACAGAACAGGAAGTAAACCTGGTCATAAAAGAATCAGATGTTTTCCAGGTAGTGAGTTCAAAAACCCACTGCCAGCTACTAATAGTTCCCATTAGCAGATATTTATTCTCCCCGGCTGACCTTTAATCACTCCTTTGTCCAACTGTTTTTCTCTCTCTTTGGGTCTATCTCCACACCCCATCTTCTGCATAAATATCAACCTTTTCCTTGCTACCATCAGTTGTGAAGAAGGGTCACTAGACCTGAAATGCTGACTCTGATTTCTCTGCACAGATGCTACCAGGCCTGCCGAGCTTTTTCAGCAATGTCTGTTTCTGTTGTTGCTTACTTTCAGCAACTGGTTCATGAGGACACCCAGGTCATGTTGAACATTCCCCTTTCTCAGTTTACAGCCTTTTGAATAATAATCTGCTTTCCTATTTTTGCTACCAAAGTGGATAACCTCATATTTCTCCACATCATACTGTATCTGCCATGTATTTGTCCACTCACTCAGCCTGTCCAAATCACACTGCAACTTCTCCGCATCCTCCTCACAACTCATCCTTCCACTCAGCTTTGTGTTAGCTGCAAATTTTGAGACATTGCATTTAGTTCCTTCATCTAAATCATTAATATATTTTGTGAATAACTGAGGTCCTAGTATTTATCACTGTGATACCCCACTAATCATTGCCTGCCATTTAGAAAAAGACCCATTTATTCCTACTCTTGGTATTCTGTCTACAAGCCAATTTTCTATTCATCTCAATGCACTAGCCTCAACCCACACAGTTTAATTTTACACAATAATCTCTTATGTGGGACTTTGTTGAAAGTCTTATGAAAATCCAAATAAGCCACATCCTTTAGCTCCTACAATCAGCTCTACTAGTTACGGCCTCAAAGAATTCCAGTAGATTTGTCAAACATGATTTCCCTTTTGTAAATCCATGCTGACTGTCTCTGATTCTGCTACTGTTTTTGAAGTGCTTTGCTATAAAGTCCTTAATAATGGACTCTAGCCTCTTTCCCACCATTGACATCAGGCTCGTTGGTCTGTAATTCCATGTTTTAGGGGTTACGTTATAGTGGGGTTACATTAACTACCCTCCAATCTGTAGGAACTGTTCCAGAGTCTAAAGAATTTTGGAAGGTAACCACCAATGTATTCACCATTTCTAGGGCCAATTCCTTAATTACTTTGTGATGTAAATTATCAGGCCCTAATGATTTATCAGCCTTCAATCGTGTCAATTTCTCCAACACCATTTCTCACACAAAAACCGATTTCCTTCAGTTCCTCCCTCTCACTAATCCTTGTGTTGCCCATCATTTCTGGTTTGTTATTTGTGTCCTCCTTTGTGAAGATGGAAGGGAAGTATGAATTTAGTTTGTCAGCCATTTCTTTGTTCCCCATTGTAAATTCTGTCATTTCTTACTGTAAGGGACTTACATTAGTTTCCATCAATCTTTTTCTCTTTACATACTTGTTCAGAGCAGCATGCATTTAGGAAGGGGCCTGGTGTAAAGATGTCCTGCAGTTGTGTCAAGCCTTGGTGACACCTCACCTGGAGTATTTTGTAGAGTTTTGGTTGTAGTATATTTGCATTTTCAGAAGACTTAATAAGGTCCTACCCTGAAGATTATTAAATAAAATTAGGCTACATTGGATAGAGGTAATATATTGAAATGGAATGAGAATCAGTTAATAGGCAATAAACATAGACTAGGAATTAACAGGTCATTCTCTTGTTGGCAGGCTCTGAACTTGTAGGATACCGCAGGAATGAATCCTTGAATCCATTCTAAGGAATAATATACTTATCATAGACAGAATTCCACAGAGATTTATCAGGCTAATCCCTGGGATGTGGGGATTGTTTTATGAAGAAAGACTGAAGAGACTAATGACACAGATATGGAGATACCATGGGAAAGAATTGTTGAAGTAGATAATTAGCCGTGATTTAATTGAGTGGTGGAGCAGGCCCTGGGCTAAATAGCCTACTCCTGTTCCTAAACTCTCCTAATAGGACAATTCATAGAATCCCTACAATACAGAAAGAGGATATTCAGCCCACTGAGTCAGAACCATCCCTTCAAAAAGGTCCAGCCTCTCTTCCAACCCCACATTTACCATGGATAATCCATTATACTGCATAACACTAGACACCACAGGGCAATTTAGCATGGTCATTCCACCTAACCCGCACATCTTTGGACTGTGGGAGGAAACTGGAGCACCCAGAGAAATCCATGTAGACATGGGGAGAACTTGCAAAACTCCATACAGACAGAGTCACCTGAGACTGGAATTGAGCTCGGATCCCTGGCACAATGAGGCAGCAGTGTTAACCACTGAGCTCCATTCCAGGAGTCAATCTGGTTTACCTTAGTTGTACTGCCTGTACAGCAAGTACGACCTTCCTTGGGTGAGAAGACCAAAATTGTGCACAACAGCCCAGATGCCAAGGCTATATACAATTGCACCAAGCACTCAATTTGTCTAAATCCCTTTATAGCCTCTTTTGATCCTCCTCATGACTCATGCACACCAAAGTTCTGTGTCATCATCAAACTAGGAAATATTACACTTGGTCCCACATCAAATTCACTGATACAAATTGTGAACAACTGGGGCTCAAGACTTATTCTTGCTGAATCCTACTAGTTCACTGCCTGCCAACAAGAGAATGACCAGTTAATTCCTAGTCTATGTTTACTGCCTGTTAACTGATTCTCATTCTACTTCAATATATTACCTCTATCCAATGTGGCCTAGTTTTATTTAATAATCTTCAGTGTAGGACCTTATCAAAAGTCTTCTGAAAATGCAAATATACCACATCTAATTGTTCTCCCTTATCTACTTTTCCTGTTAGATCTTCAAAAAATAATTAATAGGTTTTTCAAACATGACTTTCTTTTCATAAATCTCTGTTGACTGTGCCTACTCCTTCCACCACTTTCTAAGTTTTCAGTTTTCACATCCTTTATAATAGGTTAACTGGTCTGAGGTTTTCCCATTTTCTGTCTTCTTCATTTCTTAAATACTGCAGAAATAGTTGCAACTTTCCAATCTGCAGGTACTATTCCAGGATCTATAGATTTCAGAAGATGATCACCATCCATTTACTATTTTGATGTCATTCGACGCTTTAGAATGAAGGTCATCAAGTCCAGGGAATTTACAACTTCCAGTCCCGTTAATTTCTTCAGTACTACTTTTTTACTATTACAAATTCCTCTCTGTTCTGCACTAAATTCTCACTAGTCCTTTCTACAGATACATGATACAGACAGATACAAAATATTTGTTTCGTTTCTTTGCCATTTCCTTATTATCTGTTATAAACTCCCTTCTTTAATGTGCACACTAATTTTGTTAATGTTGTCCTTTTTACAGAACCCTAGAGACTTTTAAAGTTTGTTTTAATGCTTCTTGCTAATTTACTTTCATATTCAGTTTTCCCTTTCCTTGTCAGTTTGTTGACCCTCCTTTGTTGAATTCTAAATGTTCCCAATCCTCAGGCTTACTACTTTTTTGGCACTTTATAAATTCTCTTCCATAGATTTGGTACAAACTTGAACTTTTCTTGAGAGCCACAGTGTGTTCACTTTTCCTGTGCCTTAGAAAAAATTTTGTTTGTTGTATATCATACACTTTTTAAATGCTCGCCCAGATTACAGCCATAAATACCCAGTACAATTTCACATCATGTGAATTGTATCTGCTTAAATTGTCAAGACTAATGAGACTAATAGAGATAAAAGCCAAAATTGCTGGTAAAGTTCAGCAGGTCTGGCAGCATCTGTGGAGAGAAATCACAGTTAACATTTCGGATCCAGTGACTCTGAGGAAGGTGCTACTGAGCTTTTCCAGCAATTTCTGCAGTTCTTTTGGTTTTTATTTAGACTAATAGAGATGTTCTGAGACAGCAACATTTGTCTTAGTCTGTTTTGACGATCAGTCTGCCACTGTTTGACCTGACTTTCCACTGTGTAAATGAAACAACTTGTGTTATAAATGGAGAATTATGTCAATATTTGCTTTCCAGTTAATTTACCCCACAACCTCTTTTTCCTTCTTTCCAGTTGCATTCATCTGTGACACGGATTCAGGTGCCAATGTTGGGCTTCAACTACTCATTTGCCCACATGTGTATTCTAAAGGATAATAAGATGTGCGCCCTGGATGATATTGTGTATGTGCTGGAGGAGCTGAGGGCTGCATGGACCATCAATGGCACAGGGATCGTCATCAACTACCCAAATACCTACCTTAAAGATGGTCAGGAGGTGTTTATCGGGCACCAGCTCGGAGGTGTCACTCTGCAGAATAAGAATCGGGTGAAATCTGCTCGAGCGATTCAAATCACCTATTACCTGCAAACACGTAACTCCTTGAATGATTTGGTGGCAGAGAAATGGGAATCGGCTTTCTGCAAAACCGTTGAAAATTTCCAAAAATCTCACAAGGAGCTGAAACTCTATCCGTTTACATCGTCATCGCTAAAGGAGGACTTTCAGAAGAGCAGCCAGGTTTCAGAGTGGTATCTGGTGACTAGTTTACTGGTGGTTTGGCTACTGGCCATGCTGTGCTGTTCCATGCAAGACTGTGTTCGTAGCAAGCCCTGGCTTGGACTCCTTGGCTTAGTGACAATGGCACTGGCCACCCTCACATCAGCAGGGATCATCAACTTGATGGGAGGGAAGTACAACTCTACCTTTCTGGGAATACCCTTTATTATATTAGGTAAATATGCAACTATAATTGCGCTTTGATTAGTTCCATTGATGTCACTGCAGTGTAGAGTTAATTAATAGGTGTATAGTCACAGACTTGTTTGTATCTAAAAGCACATGTTTTTCACTTTTAATAACCTGCATAGAATTTTAATTTTCTATTCTCACTCGAGATTTCTGGAGAACCTTTTAGAATTTTAGACTTTGCAACTGGACTGAGGCAGCTAGAGAAAAAGAAAGAGAAACTCACTTTATGGCAGCCCCCTCTTAGTTCAAAGTTATGTTGCACAGCTCAATTTAGGAAGGATTTTTGAGGCTTTGGGGAGTGCTTGACACAGACTCGCTGGGATTTGGAGGTAAAAATCTGGCGAGAAATGAAAATCGGATTGTTTTGTGGAACAATGCAGATTATCACGTGTTTTGACATTAGCAATGACTCTGTGACTCTTTTTGAAAATGAAGAGGCCTAGTGTGAGGGGGCCGCAGCTAGTGAATGAGATGTCAGAGATTTAGAAGACAGCTAAAACTTGTTCATGAGTAGATTTGTAAGGTTGTAGCGGAGACAGAAATACTTAGGGGTGATACCGGAGCTCAGTGGTTAGCTGCCTCACAGCACCAGGGACCTGGGTTTGATTCCACCCTCGGGCGACTGTCTGTGTGGAGTTTACACATTCTCCCCAATGTCTGTGTGTGCGTTTCCAGGTGCTCCAGTTTCCTCCCACAGTCCAAAGATGTGCAGGTTGGGTGGATTGGCCACGCTAAATTGTCCGTAGTGTCCAGGGATGTGCAGGCTAAATGGGTTAGCCGTGGGAAATGTGGATTTATGGGGATGGGGGAGTGGGAGGGAGGGTGCTTGGGTAGGATGCTCTTTGGAGGGTCTGTGTGGACTCAATGGGCTGAATGGCCTGCTTCCACACCATAGGGATTCTATGAAAATCCAGCAGCTGCCTTGGTGGGATTTGAATCCCTGTCCCCAGTGCATCCACCTGGGCCTCTAGATTACTAGTGACATAACCAGCACTGTCTCACCTCAAGTGAGAGTGAAAGTTAATCTGAAGCTGCTTGTGTCCTCATTGGATCTCCAAAGTGGGAAACAGCCATTGTGGAATCTGCATTCTGTCAACGGATATCAATTTAGTCTATTCTTCTGCCTGAGCAAGGTCAAACTATTTATGGACTCATTTAGTTTCTAGAGTTATTTCTGTTTTCTCTGTGGTAAATGTAGCAGAAGCTCTTGTGTGTTTAGAAGTGCTAGTGATGCAGTACAAAAGAATCTGTATGAATGAAGGTCCACAGATGGCCTGTCTAGACTGCAGTTGCCAATAGCTGGTACTGGGAAACTTTCCAAGGATTTGGAAAGGCCTTGGGAGGCAATACGTTTGGTTTGGCATATTAATGTTAAAGCACAGTGCCTCATTTCTGAATCCCCTCCATCACTGTAAATTCTTTAGTTTGGTCACTGGCTACGTGGGGGATTTCTGTCACTTCCAATGGGCCTCCTTGGCCAAGGTCAAAATCAAACTGCAAAATAAGCTTGCTGAACACTGATCCTGTTATTCATGCCACTTTTGGGAAGGGAAAGAGATGAAACCTTTGGATTAACTGTGCTGTTATCCTGGTGGTGGCCCAAGTACCTGTTGCCTGACATTGAGTTTCCTTAAGTTATTCATTCACGGCTATGGGCATTGCTAGCTGGGCCAGCATTTATTGTCCACTCTCATTTCCCTTGAAAGGCGGTGGTGAGCTGCCCTCTTGAGCCACTGCAGTTCTTGGAATATGAAGATGGAGCTCCAGGATTTTGACACAGCAACGTCGAAGGAACGATAATTTAGTTCTAAGCCAGGATGGTGAGTAGCTTGGAGAGGATGTTGCAGGTGATAGTGCTGCCCATGTATCTGTTGCCCTTATCCCTCTAGATTGTTGTAGTAACGTGTTTGGAAGGTCCCGTCGGAGGAGCCTCAGTGAGTTGCTGCATTGAAGCTTGTAGATGGTACACACTGTTGCAACAATAGACTTGTCGTGGAAAGGTGTTAATGAAGGTGCTGGATGGGATATCAATCAAGCAGACTGTTTTCTCCAGGATGACAACAGGTTCTTGTGTGCTGTTGGAGCACCATTGTCCAGGCAAGTGGAGAATATTCCATCACGTTCCTGACTTGTGCCTTGTAGACAACAGGTGGGCTTTGGAGAGCGAGGAAATGTGTTATTCAACTCAGAATTCCTAGCCTCTGACCTGCTCTTTCAGCCACTCTGTAAATATGGTTGGTCTAGTTCAGTTTCTGGTCAATGGTAAGCCCCTGGATGCTGGTGGTAGGGCAGGTTCAGCAATAATAATGCAATTGAATGTTAAGTAACATCTTTCTTAAATATATTCAGTGACCTAGCCTCCACGACCTTCTGTGGTAGAGAAGTCCACAGAATCACTGTTCTTTGAAGAAATTTTCCTCATGTCAATCCTAAATAGGCCGCCCACATCCTAAGACTGTATCCCTGGTATGAGACTGGATAGCCAGGGAAAACATCCTTCCTGTATCTAAGTTTGGCCAGCCCTGTTAGAATTTTATGTGTTTCAATCAGACACCCTCTCATTCTTCTAAATTATAGAGAATACAGGTCAAGTCAAACTAATCTCTTCTCATAGGACAGTCCTGCCAAGCGCAGTATCAGCTTAATGAACCTCATTGCACTCCCTCTCCAGCAAGTGTGTTCCTTCTTAGGTAGAGAGAACAAAGTTACATGCAGTACTGCAGGCACTGTTTCACCAAGATCATGTGTATTTGCCATAAGGTATCCTACTTTCAAACTCAAATCTTGTTGCAATGAAGGCCAGTAGACCATTTGACTTACTAATTGCTTGCTGCTTCTGTCTGTGGACTTTCTTTATACAAGGACACCCGGATCCCTTTGTACATTCACACTTCTCAACATTTCTCCATTTAAACAATGCGTTGCCTTTCTGTTTTTTTTTTGCTCTGAAGTGCACAACTTCACATTGAACCACATCGTACTGCATCTGCCATGTGTTTTCCCCAGTCATTCAACTTATCTAAATCACCTTGAAGCTTCTTTGCATCCTGCTCATAACTCACAATCCTGTCCAGTTCTGAGTCAGCAGCAAATTTGGAAATGTTGCATTTGATCCCTTCCACCAGATCATTTTTATACATTGTGAATAGCTGACACCTAAGCACTGATCTCTGTCGTACCCCATCCGTCACTGCCTGCTAGCCAGAAAGAGACCCTTTTATTCTCACTCTGTTTCTTGTCTGTCAAGCAATTCTCAGTCTGTGCTAACATATCACCCCCTGTCCAATGAGCATTAATTTTGCACATTAAATCCTTATGAGGCACTGATCCAAAGCCATCTGAAAATCCAAATACACTTCTGGATCTCCCTTACCTACCTAGCAGTTACATGGTCAAAAATCTCAAATAGATTTGTTAAGCATGATTTACCTTTCATAACCCATGTTGGCTTTGTCTAATCCCATTAACGTTTTTCAAAAGTTTTTTTATATTTTTTTTAACAACAGACTCAAGCACTTTCTCCTCCATTGATGTTAGGCTAACTGGTCCGTAATTCTCTATTATTTCTCTCCCTACCCTCTTTAGACATTGCATTACATTTGCCACCCTCCAATCTGTATGAGCTGCTCCAGAGTCGAGACAGCTTTGGAAGATGACTGCTAATGCACCCAATATTTTCAGGGCCACATCTTTCAATACTCTCGGATCTAGATTATTAGGCCCTGATGATTTGTCATCCTTTAAACGCATTAATTTCCCCAGCACCTTATTCATGCTGACTTACTTCAATTCCCCCCTCTCACTAGACCATTGGTTCCCTGACATTTCTGGGAGGTTATTTGTGCCTTCTTTTCTGAAGACAGAGCCAAAATATGCTTCAATTTGTCTGCTGTTTCTTCTTGCTTTTTAATTTCTCTGACTTCTGACTGTGAGGGACCTACATTTGTTCTAATAATCAAATACAACCTTTCAAAGAAATGCATAATTCTGCTACAGAAAGCAAAGCTGTACTTAGAAGAAACCATTACTCACTTTAAACAGTCAGACTCTGATATTCACACCACATCTGCCCACGTGCAGGAAGTTCGCCCCCTGATGTTGTAGCAATAAACATAGGAGTAAGAGAAGGTGTGTGTTTTTCCCTACAATCTGCCAAGATGCAATTGTGCTCTGAAACATAAGGCTGGAGAGAAAGGCAGTAAAGAGTGAGATAACTTGGTTACAGCAAATTTGCCTATTTAATGCACCTGGCCCAGCAGTACACCCCAAGTATTGGTTTTATTACCTCAATAATTATCTCTTGATAACAACATGCGAAAGAAAATTCGACCCCCTATATTTAGCAGTTTTGAACTCAAGTGATCTACAGTTCTGACCATTGATGCCTGTGGCCTTTTAGCAATTGAGGCCTTTGTCCTCTTATTGTTTGATGCCTCTGATTGATAGTTATTTAAACTTACAAGCTGCAGGTATTTGAAGTCTGAAACCCATTGATGTTCACGGCCTGTGGCCTATTAGGGTTTGAGGCCAGTGTAGGTGTTTTGTAGCCTGTAGCAGGTATGAAGCCTGTAGTGTTTGAGGCCTGTAGCCTCTTGTTTTTGATGCCTCTGATTGATGGTTATTTGAGGTCTGAGACCAGTTGATTTTCAAGACTTGTGATGCATCAACATTTGAGGCTTGTGTACTGATTTGAGGCCAGTCATGTTTGATTGATGCGGCAAGGTCAACACATCTTCAAAGTCAAATCTGAGAACCATCGAAAAGCCTCGGGTGTTTGAGCTCAATGATGATTGACAAGTGAGGCAAACAATGGCAAGCTTCTGGGGAAGGGGCAGTTGGGGGTCTGGAGTCACCAGATCGGGTGAGGATGGCCGATTTCCTTCCCAGAAGGACGTTAGTGAACCAGATGGTTTTTCCTGACAATCATCCCACTCCAAGAACAGCCGGGCATGGACATAATGATGAAAAAGAGGCAGGCCGTCAGGTGAAACAGTTCCCTCCATGGCCTTGTATGTCACTTCTGACAAGCATAAATGAGCTATGTTATGACCTCGACTGACTACCTTAGATTGGTTACCAGTGTAGCTATCAACACATTCAGATTTATTCAACATAAGCTGCCCAGTCCAGAATCACATCTGACAGCAGATGGTTTGGGGTATGCAAGTGCAGGTTGTTTGAGTATAGTCTGTAGTCTGCCCATTACAAACAAGCTAATTGATTAAATTAGCTAATCTCAGGGATGTATAGCCTACGTACAGCCACGGGCCTGTCATTGCGTCAACACTGAAATTCACACATGACATTGCTAAATTGTCTGGTAGGCAAAATGTCTTTTTGGATTACAGCAATTTCTGTTAGTGGAAAATAGTAATCATTACTGGAAAGTGGTTTTTAAGTGTAATCACTATTATATTGATGGGAACAGTATTGAAATGGAGCTTGGCAGGTGCCTACATATAGCAATAAGACAAACGACCAGATAATAGGTTCTTTTGATATTAATAAGTACCAGGAAGAACAATCCTGCTGTTCTTCAAATATTGCAATGAGATCTCTTATGCATACCTCAGAAAGTTGTGAAGGCTGTGGTTCAGTCTGTTATCTGAAAGATAGTGCAGTACTCCCTCTGTAACACACTGGAGTGTTTGCTTAAATGGACTTGAACCCACAACCTCAGAGGTGAAATAAGCCGTAAGTTCTGCTCAAGATGGTTTAACTGATGTTGACAACTGATCTCCCAGCCTTTCTAGATGACAAGTCCCTTTTGACTCAGAAATAGAGTGCTACAAATGTTATTAGGACACTGAATGCCACTGAACAATTACCCAGGTGATGGAAGTGAGGAGGCCCAGCCAAGAGGCATTTTGTGGACCTCAAATGAATAATCCTGAGCTCGGGATTTATTAGATCTTTGCAGTCTTGGACTCTTGTTGCCTTTTGTCCAAACCAATCATTCCTTCTCCCCAACTTAACGCAGATTCAAAAGCGAAGAGATTATGCTAAAATTGTATAAGTCACCACATAGATTTCAGCTGGAGTATTGTGTACTGTGCTGGATGCCAGGAAGGATGAGAATATTTTGGACAGTGTGAAGTAGAGGTTGACAAGAATAAATGTTTGAGAAACTTCAGTTAGGAGCATTAGCAAGGAAATTGGCAATGTTTCCCTCAGAGAGGAGAAGGCTAAAGAGAAATTTGATCAAAGTTCTCAAAATCACAAGTGGCTGGGACAGTGTAGATAGGGAGAAATTGTTCCGCTCAAAAAAGAATCAAGAATGAGAGGACATAGATTTAAAGTAGTTTGTAAAAGAACCAAATGCAATGTACACAGTGAAAAGTTGGGGTTTGGAATGCACTGCCAGGAAGTGTGGTGGAAGCAGCTTTAACTGAGGCATTCGTGAGGGTATTAGATATTGTTTCTATTCAAATAATGTGCAGGGTAATGGGCAAAAGGCAAGACAATGGCACTAAGCATCTAGAGACCTTGGCACAAGAACAATGTGCTGAATAGCCTTGCACAACACTGTAATAATTTTGTGATTCTGAGATCGAGGGGTGGAGTCCTCAAAATTATTGGTTTGGGTGGAAAAGATGGCTAAAGGTCAAAATCCACCACTGCACATGGCAAGATCAACAAGCAAAGGCCTAGACCTGTGCGTACACAACTCCCATCTCAGGTGGAGAAGGTAGGAAATTGGGCAAATTTCCTGCAGGGTAGGTTTGGTAGATTGGGGGGTTTGCACCGTGTGTTGGGACCTGCCTGGGATCTCCCCATGCACCAAGCAGGTTTTCTGGCTAGCTTCCAATTCTCTGACATTAATACGAACCTATCTGTCTTCCTTTCGTCAGGACATGGGCTCTACGGCATGTTTGAAATGCTCTCATCGTGGAGGGAGACCATGGAGGATCAGCATGTGAAGGAGAGGATTGCCAATGTGTACGCTGACACCATGCTGCCCATTACACTCACCACTGCCATGTACATGGTGACATTTGGCATTGGCGCCAGTCCCTTCACTAATATAGAAGCAGTGAAGGAGTTCTGTGTGAACACATGCATATCCGTGCTTTTTAACTACCTCTACCTGATGGCATTCTATGGCTCCAATCTGGTCTTCACTGGTTACTTAGAAAATAATTACCAGCACAGTCTCTTTTGTAGAAAAGTGCCCAAGCCAGATGATCTGCAAGCAAAACCCGCCTGGTATCGGTTTATCATGATGTCCAAATTCAATGAGGAGGCAGCCAGCCCAAACGACCCAAGCCCCTATGAAAGTCAGTTCCTGCTTTGGTTTCTGAAGCAGTACTATTGCGATTGGATTACAAACACTTATGTCAAGCCTTTTGTGGTTTTGTTTTATCTGGTTTATATCTCCTTTGCCTTAATGGGCTACCTGCAGATCAGTGAAGGGTTGGACCTCAGCAACGTCGTAGCCACTGAGTCTCGAACTGTCTCGTATAGTACCGTCCAGCAGAGATATTTCAGTAGCTACAGCCCCGTCATCGGCTTTTATATTTATGAACCCATCGAATACTGGAATGCCAGCGTTCAGGAGGATTTGTTAGAAATCACTGGGGGCTTTGTCAGAATTTCTTGGTTTGAAACATACTTAAATTACCTTAAAAGATTGAATGTTACCTCTCCCGTGTCTCGTAGCTACTTCCTAGAGACCCTGCGGAATTCCTTCCTAAAGACGCCGCAGTATTCCCAATTCTCCGATGATATCATACTGGTGAGGAAGGTCAACAATGAGCTGGAGGTGGTGGCCTCACGCATGTATCTCGTGGCCAAGACAGCGGAAAACACCAGGGAAGAGATTTATGATCTGCTGGAGACACTGAGGAAACTGTCCCTGACCTACAAAGTGAAATTCATGATTTTTAACCCATCGTTTATTTACATGGACCGGTATGCTTCGTCGGTGGGAGCGCCCCTGCAGAACTCGTGCATCAGTGCCCTCTTTGTCCTCTTCTTCTCCGGTTTCTTGGTGGTGAACCCCCTGCTGAACATTTGGCTCAGTCTGACTGTGGCCTCAGTGGAGTTTGGAGTCGCTGGCTTTATGAGCCTGTGGGATGTGGAACTGGACTGTATCTCCGTCCTCTGCTTAATTTACGGGATAAACTACACCATCGACAATTGTGCACCGTTCCTGTCGACATTTGTCCTGGGTAAAGACCTGACAAGGACGAAGTGGGTTAAAAATGCTTTAGAACTGCATGGAGTGGCCATTTTGCAGAGCAATTTTTGCTACATGGTTGGTATAATCCCCCTCAGTTCGGTGCCTTCGAACCTGATCTGTACACTATTCAGGTGTCTGTTTCTTATAGCCCTTTTCACCTTTCTCCACTGCTTTGCCATTCTGCCCGTGGTCCTGACCTTTGTTCCGCCTTCCAAGAAGCAGGTGGAGAGGAAGAGCCCAGAAAACCACAGCGAGGTCGAGTGCATGGAGATGGTGGACTTGGATGGCACCCGGGTGGTCGACCACATCACCTCAGTCTGATTGGCGCAATGCAGCCAGGCGATGCGGAGAGAGACGGAAACAGAGAAAGAGAGAGAGAGAGACAGAGGGAAGAGGGGGATCATGTGAACGTATAGGTGGGATGGGGGAAATGGGCTAATGGAATGGAACTTCATTGATGGGGTTGGGGAAGGATTAGAGGGAGATGTGGCAGATACGCCAAGGAGAAAGGGGGAAAAATGTCAGTGGGAAGTAAACTTGATACCTCCTGGAGGCACAGAGAGAGAGGCAACAGGTCTATTTTGGGGTTCATGGTCCACATGGACCTCCTCCCACCTTACCTCCATCTCACCTTATCAACACGCCCATCTATTCCTTTGTCTCACATGCACACACATCTGGCTTCCTCAGTTTACCACAACCACTCACTGTGGGAGCGAGTTCTTCATTCTCACCACTCTCTGAGTAAAGAATCACCTCTTCGATTTTATTCGTGACTCCCTTATGTTTTACGGCCCGTATTTCTGGACTGCCCCAAAAATCAAAACATGTTCTCTACATGTCAACCCTGGGGAACCCCCTTCAGAGTTTGTTCAGCCTATTTGGAGCCACCCAGGGTACTGAGGCTATAACAGGAATGTGCTGCTCAATGTTCAAGGACAATGTGGCGACAGAGCAAGGGAGCTGCATGCATTGAAATGATTCATCTGCCCATTTGCACTCTGCTGAACTGGGATTTCCATATGAGAGCTGGATGGTCTAAAGGCGTTGTTGGCCCTGATAAACTAGATGTTACCTGCACCATCAGAATCCTCTGGGTAGGCGAGTTTGAATATTGTTTTTCCACTTGGGAACTGCGAGTTGAAGGGGAGAAACTCAATGGGTTTTGTGAACTCTCCTGGGATATTTTCCTAAGTAGCAGAATATTATTTTTTAATTCATTCATGGGATGAGAGCATCACTGGATAGGCAGCATTTATTGCCCATCCCTAATTGCCCAGAGGGCAGTTAAGAGTCAACCACATTGCTGTGAGTATTGAGTCACATGTAGGCCAGACCAGGTAAGGATGGCAGTTTCCTTCCCTAAAGGACATTAGTGAACCAGATGCGATTTTCCGACAATTGACAATGAATTCAAGGTTGTCATTGGACTCTTAATTCCAGATATTTTATTGAATTCAAATTCCACCATCTGCCATGGCGAGATTTGAACCCATGTCCCCAAAACATTACCTAGGTCTCTGGATTAACAGTCCAGCGATAACACCACGAGGATATTGCCTCCCCCCTCTTATCTGAGATTATCTGACAATCTGATTATCATATAATTTCTTATCTGAAATTAAAAGCGTTTTGCAGACTGTCAGTTCCCCCGATAAGGCTGGCCATCAGCCTCCGTCCCAAGAACCATTTCAATCTCTAGGGACTTCTTACTCATCATTTTTATCTCAGAAAATGTTGCATTTTAAGATTAGCCTCGGAAACTTCAACCTTCTAGCACCAGATACTGTAACAGTTCACAGATTGATAGAAGCCAGAAGAAAAAACAGAATCATGAAATATCTCTGCTTTTTGTTTTTCAGGTAAAGTTAAATATCCATCTGAACCTTGCATAGGAAGATCATTGGATTATTGAATGATACAGAACGGAAGGTGTCCACTTGGCCCATCACGACTATACCAGCTCTTTGAAAGAGCTATCCAATTAGTCCCACTTTCCTGGCCTTTCCCTAAAGAGCTACCCAATTTAGTCCTAATTCTTGGCCTTTCCCTAAAGAGCTACACAACTAGTCCCACGTCCCTGACCTTTCCCTAAAGCACCTTCAAATGGTTACTGTTCAAACCTTTTTCCAACTCCTGTTTGTTGTTAAACCTGCTTCTGCCACCTTACCAGGCAGTGCTTTCCTCATCACTGTAACTCACTGAGTTAAACAATTTCTCCTCACCTCCCCCTGTGCTTCGTGTGCCCATTGTCTTAAATCTGTGTCCCCTGGGCACTGCCCCTCCTGCTAATTATTTACCTTGTTCAAATTTAAGGTAAAGTATGAAATGCCCATTCAAAACAAAACAAAACAGGGGCTAACACAAGGCTCATCAATGGATCTTTTATTGACGAACACCCTGCCCACTCCTCCCTCTCCCTCTTCTTCCCAAGTTTGACCTGAGCTACCCAGTGATCTAGTCTCAGGCTACGGTCAGACCTGAAACCTGGTTTAGATTCCTCTCTTCAGCTGACAGAGACTGGATGGACTGTAGAATGAACGGGACACTTTGCTGCTTTGCTCTAGGCACTCGGCTCCAAGAAGAGCGATTGAACAGAGACCCAGTCTGATAATTTACCAGGTGCGTGCAAGGTGATTCCCCCTTACGAGATGTCACTTCAAGGAGGCAGGCACTTTAACTTCCAATCTATTCTCAAGCAAATTTGATTGTTCGCTAAATGTATCTTACCTCATTCTCCTGCACATCGCTGTGAGCACACCTCAAGGAGCAAGGAATGTTGTCCTGGATTTGAGACAGTAAACAGATTGAGGAGAAATAATGAGACAGTATTCAGTCTAGGTTCTCAATTTTGCACAACCCTCACACCGATACTTCTCTTTTTAGTTGAGCTGACATTTCATTGGCGAGGAATCCTGTCATGGATCGATGCAAATTGTATTTGACACCAATCATGAACAAAGCACAGCTGGTGATTACTGATCAATGTTACACACTGGCCTCCTTAGCAACCTGCTGAAATTTTTACTAGAGAGTAAATGTGAACGATGTACTACACAATGCTGCTTGGAATGTACAGGGTGACTTTTGTACCTCTAAGAACCGTCCATGTGAAAAGGTAAGTCCAGTTTCTTCACACAACTATTGTTCATACAGTAAGTCTATAAATATGTAATTGTGTGTTTCTGAAGATGCTACGACTGGTGGCATCTACAAATACCCTTCCTTAAGTCCATTCAGAAATGTGACTCTTGTTTGAATGATTTGCAATTTTATATCCTAACTATCTCATTCCTGGTTGTATGGAAATTGAAGTAATTCCCTCAGGGTGAAACACTCAAAACTTTATGATGTCTTCTCAAGGTTCAGATGTAATCAGGACTTTAAAAATCATACAATTTTTTTTATTTTGTATCCTTGCTGGTCGAAATTTATTGTTCAGGAACACCAGAAATCTTACACTACAACTATCCCAGTCTATATATGGATAATTGAAGTTCCCCGTTATCACTATTCTGTAATTTTTCCACCTGCTTGCAAATTTGTTCCCTACATCATATCCTTCTCACTAGTTATGGCCTCTACATGGAAAATTGTACTTTTTTTTTGTTTCTTGGCTTAACTCAAATCAGTTCTGTTCTTGACCCCTCTGGGCCATCCTTTTTCTCAGGCACTGCAATGCTGTCATTAATCAATACCATCACTCCCCCATTTTGTCTTTTCCTATCTCTCCTGGACATCTTACATTTAGGAATATTGGTGACAGAAATCAAACTGAGTTGGAGTGAGAGCTCAACTTCCATATAATAATTTCTGTTGGAGTGACTGATTCACATCATTCCATCTGTGAGAGATGATGGGAATGCAGCCTCAGAGCTTTAGTGAGGTCAGATGCAATCGTCTGATACACAGGGAGTCATACATACAGCACAGAAACAGACCCCTCAGTCCAACCAATCCATGTCTTCTGATGGATGAATACATTGCTTGACAGCAAAGTCTGTCACAGGTGGCGCACATGAAGTCATCCTTTGCTACTTGCACAGGGTGATCTCCATTGATGACTTGCCTGCAGGGCTGGTGTCCATGTTGGAGTTTCTGAAACCATTTGTTTTCACAGTGCCCATTTTCTGCCCACTGGTCCACTGGCATTGATCACCAGCTCGTGTTTACCACTTGTGATTGATGTTGAGGGATTTCTTTTGGCAGCATCCATGAATTTGAGGTTTGAGTGCCTTGCTGGTCTATTGGATGGGCTACCTGTGTATGTAGAACATTCTTGGGGATGTAAACATCTTTCGGCAGCAAGGGGAAACAAGGGAGCACAGGAAAAGGTGGTGATCCTAAAGAGCTGATTACCAAATTATAGAATCAAGCAGCATTTGACTTCTCATATCTGTGTCATCTCTTTGAAAAAACAATCCAATTAGTGACCCTCAACCCTTGATCTTTTCCTTTAGAGAATCATAGAATCCCTACAGTGTGGAAGCAGACCATTTGGCCCATCCAGTTCACACCGATTCCTCCAAAGAGCATCCCACCCAGACCCACCTTGCTATCCTATCCCTGTAACTCTTCATTTCCCATAGCTAATCCACCTAACTTGCACATCCCTGGACACTATAGGCAATTCAGCATGGCCAATCCATATCTTTAGACTGTGGGAGGAAACCCACCCAGAGAGAACATGCAAATTCCACACAGACATTTGCCCCTAGAGTGGAATCAAATCTGGGTTCTTGTCAGCAGTGCTGACCACTGAACCACCGTGCGTCCCTGAAGTATACAAATGTTGCCCCTTCAAGCTGACTTTTGAAGGTTAATATTGAATCTGCTTCCACTGCCCTTTCAAGCTGTGTTGGAGAGGTGTGATACTTAGAGAGAGATCTGCACACCTAACAATATCCAGTTCCCAATAGTTAAAATAAATGGGATCTGTGGCCCAGCCATGAACATCCACACTACCACCCTCCTCTGTGAATCAGAGAATTTGTCTTTAAGAGTGGGAAACTTAAAAAAAAGTCAGCTCAGCAAGCAATCAATTGAATCTGCTGTAACCTCTCCAATCCAGAATGTTTGGAAGCAGGTCATTTCTGGAGATTTTTGGATTGTAGATTGACATTAGAATGTCAAATCACAAGAAAAATTGGAATGACACTGAACATATAAAAAAAATTACCTGATGTATAAAACAGTGAACAAAAATACAGTAATTAAAGTAGTTATTAAATCAGGTACAAAGATCCAGCTACACACTTTAACTGTGAACAAGGGGCCTGCTCCCAACTGGATTTATTTTTCTTAAGGATGTGTAATATAATTCCAAGGAAAGTAGTTAAAGCTACATTAATTAGCAATCGCTGAAAGCCCATGGGTCGCAAAAAGCAATTGGATCAAGGTTTAAATAGATAATATTTTGGTCCAGAAATTGCGGGAGTCGGGTGCTCTGAATTAGATTCTGGACTTCATTCTTCAGACTATACTTTGTGTCGCAAGTTTCTAGGTTTTAAAAATGGCAGAGTGAGGATAACCACTAATCTGGGTTCTGTGTGAATGAATGTCAATCCCAATGGTTTATCTCCTTATGCATGAAGGTAGAGAGAAAAACTTTGATATAAAGATGGTGAATTAGAGGCAAATGGACACAGAAAGAGAAATGGTTGGAAAGAAAGACTGGATTAGGTAAAACAGAAAGAAAAATTCTGAGAAAAAGCAAAAAAATTTAAATGCATATTTAAGAATAATTTACCATCTACAGAGGGCCTCCAATTTTGAGTGGCGTGTCAGGGCCATAAATCTTGCCATTCAGAGTCCTTATGACATGAATTGCTAGCCCTAAATAATTGTGATTGAAATTAGTATACATTAACGGCATAAATCTAACAATTTTATAAGGTTCATGACAAAATATTAATTAGTTTCTGTGAAGCTAATGGAAAATGTTTCCGCAGTTTGGGAAACAATTGGGATTCCTGAGGTATCTCTTCTTTGTCACAAATTCCTAGACTTCTTATACATCTCACAATTATTTTTTTCAGCCATCCCTGGGCCACTCTGAGCAACAGAATTGCTGGGGGCCAAGAGAATTCTCACCCATACAAAGCAAGTGACTGGGAAAAGCTTTCCTGTACCACGACAGGCTTGGATTAACTTTGGCATGAATCCTGTTGACTACCTCTCCAGAGTCTTGGCCACATAATCGAGGCTGACATTACAGTACTGTGCTGCACTGTCAGAGGTGCCATCTTTCAGAGGAGATGTTAAACAAAGGCCCTTCTCAGGTGGATATAGAAGTCTTCACAGGGCGGCCTGATGGCTCAATGGTTAGCGCTGCTGCCTCACAGCGCCAGGGACCTGGGTTCGATTCCACCTTTGGGCGACTGTCTGTGTGGAGTTTGTACATTCTTCCCGTGTCTGCGTGGGTTTCCTCCGGATGTTCCAGTTTCCTCCTATAATCCAACGATGTGCAGGCTAGGTGGATTGGCCATGCTAAATTGCCCATAGTGTCTGGGGATGGGTCTGGGTGGGATACTCTGAGGGTTGGTGTGGATTTGTTGGGCTGAAGGGCCTGTTTCCATACAGTAGGGATTCTAAAAGAACAACAGGAGTGTTCTCTTTTGTCTCCTACATATTATTTATTTCTTAACCCAAACAGATTATCTGGAGACTTGTCTCATTTGTCTTGCACAGATTGATTGCTGTTACTGATGCAGCAAACAGGGATTGCACCTCACTAAAGTACTTAAATGGCTTCAAAACATTTTTTCTTTCTTTCTCAGGCAGATGATGCAGCTGCTATCCTATGAACATAGTGAAGGCATGAAACACTACTGAAAATGACTATTTGTAAACTTGAGCCAGTACTACAGGGTAGGCTGTCCAAGAGCAGCTACTTCAAGTTGCATGTAGTAAACATTGGGTAATTTATTAGATTTGCTTCCCGCTTGTTCATATATTTATGCAGAGAAACGAGTTGATGTGAGGACCCTTAATGCTTTTTGTAAAAGTACAAAAATGTTCCACAATTGTCTTTTGTTTTCATGAGAATTTGATTTCTGTTTGGATACCATGTAGACGGTAAAGGCTTCACAATGACCAATGAGGCATGTTAGGACGTAAGGAAATGCTGCAAGTGAACAGCTTTTGATGAGATCATTTCTCCTTCAATGATGAAATCTAATTTCTTTTTAAGGAGATAACACTTTTTTGCCTATGATTACAGGCAGCATTCCTAAAATCCAAATAGTCCCAGCAACTTCCACTTTTTGCTAATCTGGCTGAGTGTCTGTTCACCGACTCTATTTGTACCAGAAATCTTGTGGAACTTCATCAAAGATGGTTTGGAAATCCAAACATATTGCATCTACCACATCATCCTTACCTACCCTTTCTGTTACTGCTTCACTGTACACATTAAAGCTAGTCAAACATCATTTTCCCTTTCAAACATTCCTCTATTTTCAGCTTTTACCTGCTTTTATATACTTGAAAGAAGATTCTGTTATCTTTGTTATCAATGGCATCAAGTTAATTAATCTAAAGCTGAATTCTGCCCCTTCTATCAACATCCTAATAGGTTACCACTGGCCAGAATCTGAACTAGCTATATAAAAAAACTCGAATAAAACTCAGATAAAAGCAAAATATTGCTAATGCAGAAAATCTGAAACAAACACAGTGAATGCTGGAGAAACGCAGCACGTCCAGCAACATCTGTGGAGAATAAGCATCTGAAGTGTTTGAGCTATATACACAGTGGCTACAAGATCAGGTCAGAGGCTAGGAATACTGTGGTGAGTAACTCACCTCCTGACTCCCCAAAGCCTGTCCACCATTTACAAGGCATAAGTCAGGAGCGTGATGGAATACTCCTCAATTGCCTGGATGAGTGCGGCTCCAAAAGCGCTCAATAAAGTTAACACCAACCAGGACAAAGTACCACCCCAAACACCACCTTCAACATTCACTCCGTCCACCACCAATACTCAATAGCAGCAGTATGCACCATCTACAAAAAGCACTGTAGCAACTCACCAAGCTTCTCCAGACAACACCTTCTAAGCCAATGACAACTACAATCTGGAAGGACAAAGGCAGCAGTTACATAGGAACACCGGCACTTGCAAGTTGCCCTCCAAGCCATTCACCATCCTGACTTGGAAATATTTTGACGTCGCTGAATCAAAATTAAGGAATTCCCTAACAACCGCTGTGGATGTCCTTACATGCCAACGACAGCAGTTGTTCAAGAAGCAGCTCACTACCACTTTCTCCAGAGTAGTTAGAAGTGGTCAATAAATGTTGGCTTCGCTCACAATCCCTGACTTATTCTATCTACCTTTTTAAATTGTATTTGCCGCCCACTGGTCCTTTGTTAATGTTCCTTTGTAATTAGCTTTTAGGTATATGTAAGAGTGCCCTTGAGAAGGGAGGTCTGGTGGCACAGGGGGTAGCGTCCCTACCTCTGGGTTCAAATCTTTCTCAGAGCCATGGAAGGTTCAGTTAGAGCTTAGTTGATTATCAATGTGTAAATTCTTTCCCGATCAGTTATATTGCAGGAGGCAATGGCAAAACACTGGAGCTCTTGTCCATATAACCATGGATCACATAGAGAGGTCATGGACACAAATACCCTCTTAACACAAAGGCCTGAAGGGAGAGTGAGAGAATAGTCTCTCTGCTATCCTTTTCTTCATTTGGTTTAATATGTACAGAGACACACAGTGCAGCCCAGGGGTTTGATGCTTTCACTAAGTTTGCCTAGTATATCAATTACCTGTGCCCCTTTCTATCTTAAACATTGTTTTACATTTTATTAATATCCCCTTCTTATGCCATGTCTGACGAGTTGGTCTCCCTGGTAAATGCAGGGTTACTATTTAATACTTCTGTTTTCTCAAGTCATACAGCACAGAAACAGACCCTTTGGTCCATGCTGACCAAGTTTCTCGAAGAAAGCTGGTCCCACTTGTCTGTGTTTGGCCATATCCCTTTAAAACTTTCCTATTCATGTATCTGTCCAAATTTTTAAATGTTGTAACCTGCATCTACCACTTCCTCTGGTGGCTTGTTCCATACATGCACCACCCTCTCTGTGAAAAAGTTGGCTCTCAGATCCCTTTTAAATCTTTCTCCTCTCACCTTAAAAATATGCCCCCTGGTCTTGAAATGCCCCACCCTAGGAAAAAGATACCTACCATTCACCTTATCTATGCCCCTCATGATTTTATAAACCTCTATAAGGTCATCCCTCAACCTCCTACTCTCCAGTGGAAAAAAGTTCCAGCCTATCCAGCTTCTTCTTATAATTCAAATCCTCCAGACCTGGCAACATACTTGGTAAATCTTTTCTGAACCCTCTCCAATTTAATAATATCTCTCCCATAGCAGGGGGACCAGAATTGTACACAGTCCTCCAAAAGTGGCCTCATCAATGTCCTGGACAACCACATTGTGACATTGGTTCACAATCAGGACCTGTGAGTTTATTGTGTGTATCACTTATTGATTTTACCCTGATAGCCTAATCTTTCTTATTTATGTGTCTGGAATACTTCACTCTTTCTTCTTAGTTTTGTGATTCTTCTTTTCTTCTGAATTTTTGGTATCTTTTTGCTAACCTTTATGTTCTTTTTTCTCATCTTTGCTGTCAATACATTTTAATATTGTGATATTTATTATTATTCTTGTTTTATTTTATTTTCAAACATGACCTTATTTTCGTGGCATGTTTCCATATTGTCCCCACTGCCATCTAGTTCTTTCTTTGTCAGTAAATCTTTTGTTTATTTTTCCTCTTCCATCATTATCCCCTTAAAATCAGCTTTGCTGCAATCTATTTCTTGCTCCTTTTCTTAGTTGTGTCTTTCTCAAACATTATCTCAAACCTTCTACTCACTTCAACTTGCTTCTTTAATCTATTGTAATTAATTTCCCGTTATTACATCCAGCAGAGTTGCCTCCCTTTTCGGGACCTCTACATAAAGATTAAGAAAGGTGTCCTGTACACACTGTAATAACTCTATCCCTGTCCCTCTTTTGTTACTGTTCCCAGTTTTTGTTTGAAGGTAGTTAAAATCTCTGATGCTTATTATTTTAAGCTCTTTTCAGTCATTCCACATATTTGCATGTATATTTCTACGTGAACCTTTTATTCTGGTGTTAGGTGGTGTGCAGTGGGATTGTTAATGTGTCTGATCCCATATTTGTATTCATTTTAATCCAAGTGGATTGTTTTTCTAACCATCTGTTAGTTAAGCCTTTTTTTTGCTGTTATGTCATCTCTCACTTGTACAGCAATTACCCACTCCTCTTCATTTCCCTGTCCTTTCTCATGTTATAGCCAGAAACATGTCAGTTTTCAATCTTATTCTTTACATAGACATGGGTGAACAGACAGATAGAACTTATGGACAAATAAGTGGGAATGAATGGACAGATAGGTGGGGATGACCGGACAGATAAATGGGAACGAATGGACAGATAGGTGGGAATGAATGGACAGTTAGGTGGGAAAATAAACGGACAGATAAATGGGAATGAATGAACAGATAGTTGGGAATGAATGGACAAATAAGTGGGAATGAATGGACAGATATTTGGGAAAACAAACGAACAGATAGATGGGAATGAATGGACAGATAGATTGGAATGAATGGACCGATAGATGGGAATGAATGGACAGATAGTTGAAAGGATGCCTGAGCAGATGTGCAGGTAGTTTAATACATGGAAGCACAACAGATTTTTGCTGGAAGGAAGGATAAATGGATGGATGGAGGGATGGCTGGAAAGGGAGATTGGTGGATGGATGAACATTTTGTTCAGTGGAGACATGGAAGGAAGCATAATGATGGAGCAACAGCAAATAGAAGATATATGGTTGGACAAGTAGATGAATGGTTGCATGGATGGTTTGGTGCTTGGCTGGTTGAGTGCGTAGTTAGACAGTTATGTGGTGTATGGATGGCTTGGTGGGAAGATTCATGAGTATATGCTTGGATAAATGGATAGGTGGCTTCATGAATAGAAATATGATGGGGTGGATAATGGAATGGATATTACAATTAGACGGAATGATGGATAAACAGATAGAATGATGGATAAACAAATGGTGGCTGATTGGATGGATAGATTGATACTGAATGCATAGGCAGGTGATGAAGGGGCAGATAGATGATGAACAGAAAGATAGATAGTGAATGGACAAGTAGATGATGGGGGCAAAGATAGTTGATGAAGGAACAGATGACTGGGTGAAGATATAGTCAGCTGGATGGACAGAGAGATGGAGAATGGATGGATAAATGATGAACAGATGGATAGACAGATAGATGGCAAATTGTCCATTGAATGGTGCATAGACAGAGATAGTTGAGTGGATGATTGCACAGACAAAGAGCCAGAAAAATTGGTGAACGGATAGATTTATAAATACATTAGAAGATTGATAGACAATAGATGGAAAATTGGTGGATGAATGTCAAGACAGATAATTGCGTAGATGCATGGATAAACAATCGATGGTCAATGGATTTATAATTCGATGGCTGAATGGTTAAACAGACAGATGGTGCCTGAATGGAGGGATAAATGGATGGATAGAGAGAAAGTGGGTAATAAATATAATGTTAGAACCTGTCAGCGGTAATCATTCCAATCTGGCACTTGGACTGAAAGCATGTGAAATGCAGTAGCCCTATTGGAAGTTGGGAAAAGAATCAGCTTAATGTATGAAGCTAACTGATTAACACATTTTCTGTTCGTAGCTGCATTTGGAATAATTTTGCACATTCTGAATCATGAGTCAATCCAACTTTGGAGAGTTTTTAGCAAGAAATGTGGACATTTCCTCTTCGTCTCGTGCATTGCTAAATGTTATTCACTCCAGAACAGTATCAAGGATCCTGTTGGATAGACTCACTTTTGTCATGCTTTCTTGAGGGGTATTATAGTAAATGTTGAGTATTATCAGAAATATGGGGTCATTTATCCATGGCCTTTGTGTGTAGTGTCAAGTCTAAGGAAAAGTTAATTATTTGATTTTGCTGAGAAATAAGTAGAAAATTGAAATCTCATCCAGTTTCAAAAGTTGATTTCTGCCATAGCAACGCATTGGTATTATCATTATGAAAAAGTGGCTAGTGATTTCTTTTGTATTTGCTTTAGTGGGGGTGAAAATTGGAGTCTTTATCAATTTTGTAAAAATAATGTCACCACCATTGGGTACACTAATACATTTTATGTAACTGTATATGAACACAGCACAGCATGTTCCTTTAAGCATCTGAGCACCTAGAAATGCCTGCAAAGAGAGTTAAGCATCATACAATCTAGGGCATTACTTTTTAAGTAAGATGATTTTTTTTTGGAAGGCCTGAATTTTGAATTGCTTAGAGGCACTGCTGGTGCTGCAGCTCTCGGCCACGTGTCAAAGGATTGCCCTGCAGGAATCTAAGCATTTGAAACAATTCCCTCTTTCTCCAGCGAAGCTGGTGGAGATGCAACTCCATACAGTTGTTTTACATGTGAGAGAACTGTCACTGGGGAAAATGCCTGTTTGAGGTTGACGTGCAGCAAGCAGTTACATTTCAGGCTTGCTTACCACATGAGCTTATTTTCTGCAGGTAAATGAGGGGAAACTTTCCGGAAAGTAAATGCTTAAGAGAGTCTATTCTTAATTATGTTTAAGCTGAAAATCTATTTCCTTGGTGGTTCTCCCTTTTCTGCAAGGACACATTTACATTGTACTTACCTTTTCATAGTCTGAAGTACAGCATTCCCACTTCATCCACTTTACTGCAGTGGGATCAATATCCTGATTGCGCTGTCTCCAGGCATATTAATGAACAGAGCAGGCCAAGCAGCATCATAGGAGCAGA